GTACGAGCAGCCCCAGTCCCAGATGTACGCCCAGTCCCAGTCCCAGATGTACGCCCAGCCCCAGTCCCAGATGTACATCAGCAAGAAGATCATGTTCTGAGCCTACGCCCATTTCTTTTGTGAATAAACTTTAATTTATTTTATAACAGTTTGGATTTCCATGTTATGACGTAGTTCTGAAAGTTCCTCCTCAACAACCGTTCCCCAATGTGGCGTCGGTGCGCTGACTTTGTTTTACCCCTCACCGAGCACTCCCGTTTAAAGGGGGGAACACCTCCCGTCTTTACTTTGCTGCAAGGCGGGCTGGCCTACCCAGCGGGCTGTAGGCGCCCGCGTCAATCAATGCCTTGCGAAACTTGGACCCTTGGACGGTGGGAGAACCTTACGCCACCGGGTGTTAATAACTGATAGAGCGGTCAACTCTCATTTTCTTAGACGTTGCTCGTAAAGAAACACCACTTACATTCGATGCGTATGTGCGCCGAAACCACACCCAAAAATGCTATCCTTAAACCAAGGAATTTTCTTTAAAAAAAATGCAAGGTAATTATCGACCTTGGTTTAAGGTTTTTCTGGTTTTTCCATTAATTTCAAGGAAATTAAGTTGATCTAACGAAATTTTTACTTTATTTTAACGTCATTTGCATTAAGTTAAATACAGTTTTTCTTTCTTTTTTTGGAGGTAAGAATAGCTTTGAAGCAACGCATTTCACCTTGTTCCAAGTCTACCATTTTCTGGGTGCAGCCTCCCTACAGACAGACTGCCTGCCAGTTTCGGCCACCACCGGTCCGGATCTGGACTGGTCGGGTCAAACGTCACAGGGCGGCCGGCCGGACACTGACGGCAACTGACACGGCCTATGGGGAAATACAGGGTGGTCCACAGACCCCGCCCTTTATTTTGCTTATACTGTACCGGATGCAGGCGTGCGACCGGGTTGAATACTCGCAAGGGGCCGTAAGGCGCCGTAGTGAGCGACGATAGGCAAGCCCGCCCGCACGCCTGCATGCGGTACAGTATAAGCAAAAATAAAGGAGGGGGTCTGTGGACCACCCTGTAGATCTGGAGACGTGCTGCCAAACAGAAAAAAGCGCAAGCCTGTAGAACACGATGTTTTTTCGGGTTATTATAACGAAATTAACATTGAAAGCATAAACTGTCGCCCACTAAACCTTAATCAGCCTCAGGTCACCGAAAAAAGACGGTTCTTGAATCAAGTTAATTCTCTTGAAACAAGTGCATGCACTTGTTTCGAGGGAATTTACTTGATTCAAGAACTTGCTTTTTGGGTGGAAGACTCATGAGACAGTATACAAAATGCGACAATGCGTTTGCGCTCTCCCAAACCGAGTGCGGACTTTCAACCACCCTTGACGAGTGACAGCCAAAACCTTTTATTTATGGCTTACAAAACCACCCCTAATGACGCATTGCGAATGCAAATGTACAAATACAAAATACGAGCAGGTCCCCAGTACATTCTCACAGAGTTTTGGACAAGTGGCAAACCATTATTACCTTCCCAAAATAAAAAGGTAAAACCAGGAACCATTCAAACTTTCAGAGACGGGCAAAAACATAAAATTCCAAAACTAACTTTTTCAAAACAAATATTATTTAGGAAATTAGGAGACAATTCTAGCGTGTAATAGAATAAATTAGAATGATTCACAAAGGCGGCGAGGCACAAAGTTAATACACGATCTTCTTGCTAATTGGCTGAGCCTTAAAGCAATAAGAAATAAAGAATCTGAATAAAAATAAGAGGCGAACCCTTAACAATCGAGTCGAGTAGGCCCCAGGAGTTTGGGAGATCACGGCCCAACTTATGGGGATCCAACCTTCCCAATGGTAAAGTTTATAGGGTTGATGTGAGTCAGAGATATGTTGTTCTGATCAGAGCACTACAAAAATGGCTGCGAAACT